CCGGTGGCTGCAGGCAGCCCTGCAGTGGGCAGCCCGGCGGTGGAGGCTGGGCGCTTGGTCTGGATCAGGCGACGGTAGTTCTGGGCGATGTTGCTGTTGCGTGGGATGGTGGACGACTTGTCGAACTCGGACGGGCCCTCGCTGTCTGCATCCCCGTTCACAGAGTAGCAGTCATAGTCTGAGCCTGGGGGTGGGCCCAGGAGGCAGTGAGCCTGGAGCCCGGGTACCCCCGAGATCCCACCAGCCCAGGGTAGACATGGAGAGGGAAGGACAGGGCCCTCCTGTGCGGTGGAGTCATGGGTGTCCTTGGCAGGGTGGGGCCAAGGGACAGTGAGGCCCAGTAACCTTCTCCCAGCCCGCAGGGACTGCAGCCCTCCTGGCCTACCTTGGGAGGGGATGGTGTCCTCGGAGCATGAGGGTGTGGTGGTCTGAGTGCTGTAGCCGCTTGAGTACTGCAGCGAGTCCCGGCTGCTCTTCTGGTGCTCAAGGCTCAGGCCACGGGTCAGCACCATGGCCAGGTCACTGGCTGCCGGGGACACCTCCTCACCATGCTGGCGGGGGAATTGCAGGCTAAATCCTCGCTCCCCACATCCCCCCTCTGCCGTGATCCCAGGCAGCCCCACCAGGTGGCTGGAGCTGGCCCTGAAGACCCCTTGCTGGGCCTCCTGGCATTGACCTGGGAGTGAAGGTGGAGCCCTGGCTGGGCTGCCAGGCAGCTGCCTGCTTACCTTGGCTGCGATGGTTGCAGGGGACATCCGAGGTCGTGGTGCCTCCTCCCCACTGGGACCCAGGGTGCTCCCACTGGTGGGGCCTGGCTCTGTGTCTCGGAGGAGTTCTACTCGGTCCTTCCTCCGCTGCAAGGTCGTGCCCGAGGGCTGCTCGTGGGGGCCAGCCTTGGACCAGTCCTGCAGGGCATGGCAGGAAGTTCAGGGGGACCCTTGGCCCCACTGCCATGGCCAAGGGTCCCCTGACTGTGGTTGAGGCTCAGGTTCTGTGAGGACCCTCTGGATCACAATCATGGCCAAGTCCACAGCATGGACAGTGGCTGTGGCCCCTCAGTCTTACCAGGCCCATGGGCAGGATGGGGTGTCCCAGGAGGGAAAGCCACAGCTATGTGGGGAGTGGCTGTGGGTGGTGCCCAGGTGGGGACAGGTGTCAAGTGCCATGCCCTCGTGGCTGAAGCTGGGCCCTCCCTGCAGTGATGGTACCAGGTCGGGAGGGCACAGGGTAAGGAGCTGTGATGGTCCTGGGGCTGGGGCTGGGAGCACTGACCGAGGTCGGGGAGCTGCACTCGCTAACGGACTGGCAGGTTTCGGAGGCCTCGGATGACGCAGAGCTGGAGGACTTCTGTCATGCAGAGGCGAGCAGGTGGTTGCAGACAAACAGAGGCCGGAGTGCAGAGAGGAGAGGACAGAACAGTCCTGGTCACTGTGCCTGCATGCAGTGGGGCGGCTCCCTTCGGCACCCCACCCCAACCCCCAGGGCCCTGGCCGCTGAGCATCTGTAGCAGGATGCACGGCCCAGAGCACACGCCTTGGGCAAGGACCCACTCGACGGCCCAGCCCAAGACCCCTACATTCTGAGGATCAAGCACAGGACTCGCTGCTGACGGCCTGGACATGGTGGGTGAGGGAACGACAGGTACTTAGGGTTATGGTTGGATGTTTGGTTTGAGCAACTGGGTTGATGGTGTCACTGTTTTCTCAGAAAGGGGACCCTGGGGGGGAGGTATGAAGTCCAGTGCCATGCTGTCCATGTCAGCTGAACTGCCCATCAGGGCTCCATGAATGGATGCAATGGAGGCAAGCTTTGCTGCAAGCATGGAATTTGGGGAGCCACAAATCTGGCAGCCTTGGGGTAGTGAGTGTGGTTAGAGACAAGTTCTAAGGACCAGGCCCCTCGGGTGTGCTGACATTCAGTGGTTGAGAGAAAGAGGAGGGTCCAGTGGAAGGGAGCCACAAGGAGCTGCCAGAGAAGTGGGAGGAAAAGCACAATCAGGCGATGCCTCAAAAATCAGGAGAAGAACCTGTTCTGTGCAGGAGGGTTAGTTAGCTGTGCTGACTCATGCTGGGTCCATCAGCTGGGGCACAAGAGCGCCCGTGGAGAGCACCAGGGGAGCTGCTTCCATAGAAAGGGGCTGGGGGGAGGCCCATTTACCAGTGGCCTGTGAACCCTGCTCCGGGCAGCAGGTGGACTAGGTACCCTGCGAGGCCCTCCCACTCCAAAACAACTGAAAAGAAAGATGAAAAAAGAAACAAGGGTAGAAACAGGACCATGAACTCCTGAGCACGTGTGACGGGCAGGGCTCCCCAGGGCAGATGCCGACATCAGCACAGCAGTCAGAGATGGAGCAGAGGCAAGCGCTGCCCTATGATGAGCCAGATTAAGCCAGGGCAGCTGGAAGTGCACCAGGAGCAACCCCAGTGCCGGCCAAATTCTCCAAAGCATCCTTGATTTAGATCTGCTGATTTCCTTCAGGTTATGATAAAAACCAACATCACCAAAGTAAAAGAAAGCAAAGCACCACAGGTGAGGATTCAGTGGAAATAACAAATTCAGACTTCTAGCAATATGACTGTGAAAATAAAAACTCAATGAAAAAAAGGATTTGGAAAACTTAATGGAAAAGTTCAATACCCATTCATGAAAGAAAAACAAACCTGAAACACTTAAACCAGGAGTAGAAAGGAAGTTCCTTAATCTTTTTTTTTTTGTCTTTTTGTCTTTTTTTGTGTCCGGCAACGGACCGCAACCCTCAGTGTCGCGCCTGTACCGGACCGGGACCGGCAACGGGATCGCAACCCTCGGTGCTGCGCCCGCCCCTCGCTCAGCCAGTGAGCGGGAACCGGTCTGTATGTGGGATCCGAACCCTCGGCAGGAGCGCCACCGCGCTTCCCAAGCGGCGCACTGTAGCAGTGCGCCACCGGGCCGGCCGCAAGTTCCTTAATCTGATAAAGAATATCTACAACAATAATAATACTCTTCCCTTTGAGGATGAGAAAAATACAAGGAGGCCCACCATCACCATTTCTATTCAGCACTGGAAATCTTAGCCAGTGCAATAAAGCAAGAAAAAGAAGTAAAAAGCAAAAGGATTAGAAAAGAAATAAATTGATCACTATTTGCAATGACATGATAGTATACACAGAATATTCAAAAGAATCTACAAATTTTCAGAATTCATAGATGATTTTAACAAGATTATTAGAAGCAAGGTCAGGAAAAAAATCAATTATATTTCTAAATACCAGCAGCTTAACAAGTAGGAAAAAATGTAATTTACAATAGCATCAATAAACATCCGTTAGGAAAAAATCCAAGAATAGATGTGCAAGATCTTTACATAAAAACTAAAAAACATCATAGAGATAAAGTAAAATCTGAATAAACAGAGAGACATATGCAATTCTAGTCAAAATCCCATGTCTTTTTTTTTTTTTTTCGTGGAAACTGACAAGCTGATCTTAAAATTTATAAGGAAATGCAAGGGGCCAAAAATACGCAAGATGAAAGTGAAGAAAAACAAGCTGAAGGACTTCCGTTATTAGATATCAAGATTTTCTATAGAGTTACAATAATTAAGATGGTGTGGTATTGGCACAAGGACAGATAAATCAGCCAGAGGAAACTCCGGAAAGAGCCACACCCATGCAGACAGCTGACTGACAGCAAAGGCAGTGCAGCAGTGGGGAGAAGATGATGCTATGGTTTGAATGTATATGTCTCCCCCTAATTCATATGTTGAAACTGTAACTCCCAAAATGATGGTATTAAGAGAACATTTGGAAAGTGATTAGATCATGACGGTGGAGCCTTCATGAATGGCTCTTACAAAAGAGGCCCTGAGGGAGCTAGCTTGCCCCCCCCCCGCCACCACACGAGGACATAGCAATATCTGGTTCATCTATGAACCAGATAGCGGGCTCTCACCAGAAACCGCTCTGCTGGTGCCTTGATCTGGGACTTCCCAGCTTCCAAAACTATGAGAAATAAATTTCTGCTGTTTATGAGCCACTCAGTTTATGGTATTTTGTTATAGCAACTTGAATGAGCTAAGACAGATGGTCTTTTCAATAAATTGTCCTGGGTAAATTAGATATCCATATAGAAAACAGGACCCCTACTGCACTCCCCCACCCCCCACACAATCAACTCTAGATGAGCTGTAGATCTAAATGAAAAGGGTATAACAAAAAAGGTTTTTAATCCCTATACTGGCCAGCTGCCAAAAAATAAAAAAATAAAAAAATAAAAAAAAGGCTTTTAGAGGAAAACATCTTTGTGACCTTGGAGTATGCAAAAATATTCAAGCAGGACACAAGCAGCATTAACAATTTAAAAAATGGATATAGTTAGTTGACTACATTAAAATTAAAAATTTCTAGTCATTTAAAGACCCCACTAAGAATAAAAATGTACCCACAGAATGAGAGAAGATACCTGGTGAAGGACTTGTTGTAAGGCTGTGCTCTAATCACCTGAGCTAACCAGCCAGATCCCTCTAATGAAGGACTCTATCTACAATACATAAAGGGTTCTATGAATCAATAAGAAAAAGACAGACAACCAAGTAGAAAAATGGGCAAAAGATCTGAACAGGCTCTTCACAAAAGAGGACATTCAAATGGCCTTTAAAAGGAGGAAAAGGTGCTCAACCTCATTCTCACTAGGGAAACGCAGTTCCGGTACTGGGTATGCACCTTTGTAGAACTGCATACTACAATGTTCCCAGCAGCACTACTTACAGTCCGATAGCCAAAACACTGGGGACTATCCCAACGTCCATCAAATGTAGAATGGTTAAATAAATTATATATTCACACGACGGAATGATACACATATCCATATAAGACATGGATAAATCTCATAAACATAATGCTGAGCAAAAGAAGCCAGACATAAAAAATATATACTGTATGATTATGTATATATATGTAAATATAAAAGATAGAAAAGGCAAAACAAATCTAATCAGTATAGTGGTTACCCTTGGTGACTTGAGGGGGCAGCAGGGACTTCCGGGCTGATGGTCATGCTTTTTCTTGTTCTTGCTGCTGCCCACACGGGTATGTTCAGTTTGTGCAGTTTTATCAAGCTGTACGCTTATGATATATTTACTTCTCTGCATGTAGAGGATACTCCAATAAAAAAGTTCTTAAATGACTTGGTGGTAATGGGTTGCAACTCTTAGAATGAAATAAATATTTATGAACCCATACTGGTATAAATAAATAATTGAACACATAAACAAATGGGGACAAGGGACAGATCTTTTTGCAGTAGAATTTGAATTAATAGGGGCCGGCCCGGTGGCGCACTGCTATAGTGCGCCGCTTGGGAAGCGTGGTGGCGCTCCCACCGAGGGTTCGGATCCCACATACAGAC